GAAATGCTTGAAGTCCACTGTTTAATATAAATCAAAGGGGAAAAAAAGGGAGTTTTCTATTAAATGCAAAGGATCTTAATAGCTTCAAAAAGAAGGCTGCAGGGTAGGGTAATAGAATTAGCCTGTCAAAAGGAAGAAGCCAGATGAGGAGGTCTTATGGGTGAGTCCATTAAAATGGCCAAAAGAACTGATGTATTCTTGAAATGCCATAGAGAGTCTTAGAGTCGGACAGAATTGTGCTTGAATTCAAGTACCCTGCCTCAGATATTTAGCTTCTCTAGGCCTCATTTTGCCAATCTGTAATGGGGAGGCTAATAATATCTATTTGGCAGGTTTTTGTGATGAGGCATGCAAAGTGCCCAATACAGGGCTGCCACAAGAAAATATATAAGAAATTATTTGAAAATACTGAATATGAGATTTTCTTATTTCTTATAACCCTACTTCATTTTTCTTAAATCATAAAATTTTAGTTTATACAGTCCTAAAGTCTGTGGAGGTCTCAGACCCAAATGTAACCAACAAATGTTAGGCCTAGAAAACTAATATTTCAGTACTTGCCTTTATTTTGTTGTACTTTTGGAAGCACTTTGGACCAAAGGTGAAAACAGACACAGATGAAGAGTTGCCCAATCCCAACACAAATTGTTCCAGGCATCACCACTGTGTGGATTATGGCATTTACTCTACCTATCCACCTTTCCCCAAAAGAGGAAAGAATTGAGTTGAACAGGTTTTTCCCCCCTCTTATAACCATTAACAATTGTTCTCCCTGTAAACACAAAAGTAGTCTATTTTACCAACTCTAATATTCAAGTCAAAGTGTTTATTAAACTATTTAAGAACCATTTATTAAGTAATGGTTTGCCAAGACTTAGAATAAGAAGATTATGTACATGTATCCATTCAGGCTAGACCTAAAGTGAGCTGATCTAAAGTTTATTTCACTGGCCAGATAGTCAGCTGTCCAAAGCACCTTAAGACACTGACTTAGAGGGCGCCTGGGTGGCTCAGTTGGTTAAGCAACTGCCTTTGGCTCAGGTCATGATCCTGGAGTCCCGGGATCAAGTCCCGCATCGGGCTCCCTGCTCAGCGAGGAGCCTGCTTCTCCTTCTGACCCTCCCCCCTCTCATGTACTCTCTCTCATTCTCGCTCTCTCAAATAAATAATTAATCTTTAAAAAAAAAAAAGACACTGACTTAGAAAAAAAAGAATCAAATTATTATTAAGTTAGTCATTATAGAATAACATGGCAATTAGGCAAGGAGGTGAGAATTTGCTTCAGTGTTTGAGCTACTGTGTTTTGAAATCATCCTTAACAAAACTTAGGAAATTTCTTAGGGGGAACAGTTTGTCTGAATATGCTAACCTCTCAAGTATACCATGGAAGAAAGAATACATACCTACCATGCTTGCAAAGAAAATATGAAATATAGTTGGAAATGCCTACCAAATATCAACTGAATTATGTTTTCTTTTTTTTTACCCTTTTTTAAAAAAGAAAGATTTTATTTATTTATTTGACAGAGAAAGACACAGCGAGAGAGGGAACACAAGCAGGGGGAGTGGGAGAGGGAGAAGCAGGCTGTCTGCTGAGAGCCCGATGCGGGACTCGATCCCAGCAACCTGGGATCATGACCTGAGCCGAAGGCTCAGAATGTTTACATTCAGGATTCTAGGAGGAGTGAAATAGAAAAATAGGTCATAGGGTGAAATGCATGTAATTGAGACCATGGGGTGGGGGTGGTAATTAGCATTTGGATATGAGTAAGAAAGAGTGATAGAGATGGGGAGGATAAGATCAGTGGAAGAATTGAGTTCAAGGAACTGAGAAGCTAGGGTGATGGGCATATCATACATTTATATATTGAAATCACCAAGAATTGACACAGGAGTACTGTTAGAGGGACAATGAGCCTAGAGTTCAGACTTTTGAAAAACCAGGAGGGACCTGGATGGATGTAAACAGAGGCAAGAAAAACAAACAAAAAAAACCCCAAAAACCACAGCAACACTGAGGGGTAACAATGATATAATCCATTGGCATTAGATACAAGCTGGATGGTTTTAGGGAGAAGAGAAAGAGAACTTGAAATTGGCAATGAGGACCAAGGGAACCTTCTACCTCGCCTCCAGGTCAAATGCTACTTGAGAACTGGGAGAAAAAACAGCCATTTGGAGAGTGCTGTGGGAGAAGTAGGGTCCGTAGAAGGAAATTATGCTTACATTAGCTGTGGATATGAAGGGAAAGTTCAGAGAGGAAGTTGAGAAAGAACCCTGCTGATATTTGAAGGTTGGGGAAGGGTGGATGAAAGGGATCAAATAAGGATAGGAGTGAGTCACCTAAGAGATGGGGTTTCTGGTATTCACTAATGTGAAATCGTAGAAAATACATATATGGGTCTCTGCCCCCAATTCCTGGCACAGAGCTCCTAAAAGCCTTGTAATTTCCTAAATAACAAGAGTACTAGGAGCACCTTTCATTCTAATATTTGGGTTTTGACCCTAGTTCGTGACCTAGAACTCAAATCTCAGAATTTCCTGGGTGAAAGGAGTGTCCTTTGTTCTAATGAGGTGACTCTGGGTGGGCTCCTGATAGCTATAGGAAGGGCGGTGGTCAGCAGAAAGATCAAGCCATGATTAGAAGCTTGGAAATTTCAGCACCTTCTTCCTTATGCTCTAGGAAGGAGAGAGGGGCTGGATATTGAGTTAATAATCAATTATGTCTACATGATGAAGCTTCCATAAAAATTCCAAAAGTATGAGATTAGAAGAGCTTCCAAATTGGTGAACACATCCATATAGTGGAAAGATAGCACACCCAACCCCACAACAGAAGCTCCTGTGCTCTGGATCCTTCCAGACCTTGCTTTATGTACCTCTACATCTGGCTGTTCATCTGTATCCTTTACGATATCTTATATAATAAACTGGTAAATGTAAGTAACTGTTTCCCTGAGTTCAGGGAAATGATAGAATCCGAGGAGGGAGATCATGGGAACCTCCAATTTGTAGCCAAGTTAGACAGAAGTTTGAGTAGCCTGGGGACCTATGATTGACATCTGACGTAGTGGCAGGGGGAATCTTTTGGAGCCCTTAGTCCATGGGGTCTGTGCTAATTCCTGGTACTGTTAGAACTGAAGTGTAGGACACCCAAGTGGTGCTGTAGAGTGTTGCTGGGAAAAAAATCATTGATGTGGGAAAGAATCCTCCCATCTGGTGTCTGGACTGTTGTATGGTAGTAGTATGAGAACCCATGAGAAACACACAGGAGTGTTTTTATCGTTCAAAGACAAACTGAGATAAATAGAAATAAAGGGCAGAATGAAATTAGTCCTGGTGAATTCAAATCAGGTAAGTGGACATGATGCGGGGTGTGTGGGAGGGTGGGATGGGTGTATGGGTCTTCCTCTTATGCCCTATAGATGGAGGAAAGGAGATATGGGAAAGCAGGGTATTAGCAGCCTGTGAAACCCACCTATCTCTCTTACAATGGGGGTACAATGCCTAGGGTTTGGTCCCGGTGCTTGGGTCTAGTCTTGACCCTATCGAGAGGAAAGCTTACTCCAAGAGTCAGGCTCAGCCTTGATACCTGTTCAAGAAGTTAAGACTTCCAGAAAAGCCAGAAGTAATCTTTGACCACCAGATTCTATGTCTAAAAATTAGAGTAATAAAATATATCCCTACAGAACTTAGCCCAGGGTGGTTTAACAATGGGGGGTCCCAAAAATTGTCAGTTACACAGCCATTCTACCCTTTTTTGGCAGAGAGGTGCAGTCTGTTTTCCTCTAGTCCTGAATGAACTCGTTTGAAAGATAGTTAATTTTATCACAGACCATTAAGAAGCAAACTATGAACAAGATATAAGGAATTTAGTACAACGTTCCTGGTAAAATAAAATTACACTCTATGTAAACCAATGAAGCCAAGTTGATCAGTTAGTAGGTGCAATCACTCTCACTACACTGGGTCCCCAGTAGTTTCAGTGGTCATCTATCCATCCCCCATCCATCTATCCATTTATCCAATCTTACTGAGCGTCTATGCTCTAGACACTGCGGAGAGCATTGGTAAGGAAACTAGTTATGAGCTCCATCCTCATGATGTTTAGTCTAGTGAGGAGGAGAATCATTGATTAAGGTATTGGATATATGATGAATGCCATGAAGTCAGAGTTTTCCAGAAGAACCTAACAAGGGGACCTAATTTTTACCATTTGCCAAAGGATTATCTGAAGCCAATTTTTCAGATCCCAAAGGATTGATATCCTGTAAGCTCATTTCTAGAGTGAGTCCATTATGAAAAATACGAGGGCCACAGTAGAAAGTGGTAGAGCTACAGCACCAGGGAAACCTGACGGTCCCAATTCTTAAGCAAGCTTCTCATCACTCACTGATTTAGGGTATGGTGTCCTCTCTATCTCCTTTCCAGAAGCTACACTGAGGTTCACCACAAAGAAGAGTCTCAGTATCATCTAGGAAGACTGAATTGTGCCACAGCTTTTGCGGCAATGGGATTGCATTTTCTCCCAGTTGAAGCTTAGAAAGAACCGCATATATAGCTGCTTTTCTAGAAGCCGAAGTGTGCAGCTCAGAGCATGCCCTTGCTCTCCCTACCTATAAGATAGGTTTCTGCACATTCACAGGGAGCAACAGTGAGGCATGACCTCTAAGCTTGGCTCCAGTTGTATGATGCTTTGCTGAGACACAATTTCCTTCTACCTAGTAAGGTCAGTAGCCGTTTCACATTCAGAGGAATAAAGTCCACTTTAGATATGCACAGAGAGAGTGTAACTTGCTCTTTGTTCACTTCATCTTGTTAGCTACTTGATGGCTCATTCTAAGCTTTATGTCGATTCTTGATAGAATCATCCCAAATCATCCATTGGCTATTAAACCATACTCATTTTGCCCTGCTTTATTCAGTGTATCATTCTATGCTGCTACTCCAAAACCACATTATAATATGGTATGTCCATGTTATTTAAAAAATATACTTACTGCTACTTGGTGGCAAAAATAATCCATTGATATTGCGAGGTTTGCTGTGATAAAAGATACAACTGATCTTCACACAACCAAGAGGTTGAGTTTCCCAGAAGCATGAAATGCTGCAGTTTTGCTAGACAAAGGAGGTGGGGGAAATGTAATGATCAGATACCATATTCAAAATAAATACAATGTGCTACAGCACAACGCAATGTGACAAAACTATCCCAATTACTGATTTAGGATCATGTGTGTCTCCTGAGTTTCAGTATTTCTAAACTCTGCTATTTAAAAGATACAATAGATATTTCGAAAACATATGCCACCATTTTTTATAAGAATTTAAGTTGAACAGCATGCAAAATGCGTAATATTAAGTAGTGGAAGAAAGAATCATTTTTTTTCCTCTATTGTTTTGTAAGAGTACATAGTTCTAGAGGGGAGGGGGGAGGGGGATGGGTTAGCCTGGTGATGGGTACTAAAGAGTGCACGTTCTGCATGGAGCACTGGGTGTTATGCACAAACAATGAATCATGGAACACTACATCTAAAACTAATGATGTAATGTATGGTGATTAACATAACATAATTAAAAAAAGATGATGTAATGTATGGTGATTAACATAACATAATTAAAAAAAGAAAAAAAAGAGTACGTAGTTCAGTCTTATGAAGAGAGACGCTTTTTTTTTTTTTTTTAACAAACATGATGATGGTGAGTAATTCTACCTGCATTTCCATGTGTCTAAATCTGCAAAGTGGATCTAAACATTTTCCCTCTCTCCATAATGAGCACACAGTGTCACTGCCAAGGGCCTCTTCACAGTGTCGGAATCGGCACTGGGAACCCTGCAAGTAAAAAGGAAACAGTATGGAAAACTCAACATACTAGCGTTAGTGTTCAACAACAGTAAGTTGCTAATTAATTAAGGAAAATATGACTAGATCAAATTAGAATCACAAAAAATACTGCAAAATAAGGTCGTAAGTCTAAATTTTAGCAAATTTGTTTAATTTTAGTGAGAGACTGACAATATAATCTAGTACAACATGCCACAAGTCACTGATAAAATGCTACTTTTTGTTATCAGTTAATCCATATGATTCACTAAGAATAAACATATGATACCACTGATATTCTTGATCGCAATCCAATGATGGAACAATTTAATTTAGCTTTCTGGAAAAAGATAGTTTTTTGTTTTGTTTTGTTTTATTTAAGAATCACAAGCCATATTCAAATGGTGGAGATGATCTCTATTAGTCAATCTTTATTAGATAATGTTTTCTTAGTCTATTGGAGATACTGTTAAGTGTGTTTTTACAGGGAAAGTGAATGGGGCTTAAACTTTATATTATTGTGGAATTTTTTAGCACATTATGCTACATTAAATGTATATCCTTTATACCCTTGGTCTACAAGATAAACAACTGTGCCAATACACATATACATATACCAACAAAAGCAGATGTGGATTATTTTAATGGGCTGCTAGTACTTTTTTTAATTCTATGTCTTTTACACATAGGCCCACACTTGGAAAAACTGCAGGCTGTTGTCTTTCTGACAGAGAGGTGCGTGACATTCAATAAAAATATTCCATGAAGTTCTGTCTTTTGACACATGTTCCATGTTTTTTTCTTATTTTTTCTCACTTTCTTACTCCTGTCTTCACAATTTCCCCCTTTTAAAAGTGGATCTGTGGATCTTGTAGTACAAGATAGTGGACAGGGCTAGATAAACCAGTATTTGAACTCCTGGTTCCATTATTTGTCCATAGTTACAAAGTTAATACATTTCCTCATTGTGTCACTAAATATATCTATCCATCTGTAAAAAGGGAATAAAATGTGCCCCTCACAGATTGTAAAAATTATATGAGGAAGGTATCGTGGTTGCTATTGCTATTGTTATGTATTCATTTAATTATTTATTGAGAATTTACCACCCATCGGTCATGGTGCTAGGTACTTGGGGATACAGCAGTGAAACAGACAAAACTCTCTGCACACACAGAATATAAATTCTATTATTATTTATCATCTCTAGGTTTAATCATAAGGGGACAGGCAAATAAGTGAGCACTGGGTGTTACAGGAAACATAAATTATTGAACACTACATCTGAAACTAATGATGTACTATAAGTTAGCTAACTGAATTAAAAAAAAAAAGTGGATCAAATTCTTATGGTCAAAGAGGTTGACTCCACTCAGGCTTCCTAGCAGAGATAAGTCACTTTAAATCAGACACATTGTGTCTTTCATTCAGGCATGAACATGAAGCTCCAACTTTCTACATTTATTTGGTTTCATTGAGGTCCATTAATCCTAATCTCTTTAATATCTTTATTATTTATTTGATATCTTTATTTATATCTTTATTTAATATCTTTGAGCCTTATAAACTTGAATTCAAATTTGGCTAATTTGTTTATAATACTTCTTTTCCTTTTTCCATGTTATCAAATATTCACTGTTAGACTGTTGACAGGAAAATTCAGTAACTGGGTTAATGAATTTCAAATAGGGAATCAATTAGATTTATTAAACTAAGTTTGATAGTGAGCTGAATTTAACTTTTTGAATTAACATGTTTGGAATCACATTAACTGTAACAATATGATATATCATATAACGTTTCAGTATGTTTGAAACTATATCATAATTTTAATTTCCTCAGAGAAATTCAGTATGTCAAAAATACATGATAAGCTTTTACTTCAGATTTTAAATATGTAAAGTACTTTTCAGGAAAATAGTAAATTTTGACTCAGCAATACAAATTATTGCCATATCTTCCTTCATTCTACTAAAAAGCTTAAGCATGTGAAGTACCGTAAATTGTACAATATTTACCTTTATGCATGTGGAATTAAAAAAGAAATAGCAGTCATTCCCAACTTCTGCCATTTTCAACTCTTTTGCTGCTAATCCAATGTTTTTTAATATAAGAATTGCAGGAATGCAAATATAAGAACTATCAGTGTGTAAGGGGGAAAAAGAATTTCTTTTCCACAGTCTTTCAGGCTATCAGTAATATTCCTTTAAAACTGACCTCCTGTTGACAGTATATTACACAATAGATAATTCTTAAAGAAATTTAAATTAGAAGATACCTTCTCTAGCTTTGCAGAAATGTTCAAAGTGGTTGCTAGTAAGCACACAAACTCAAACTTCCAGAATTTTCCTCATTGTTACCTAATCCATTGTTTGCTCATCATAAATGACCTCATACGTAACTGTAGGCTAGCCTACCTTCGTGAATTCTGTATAGTATTTCTCTTCCCCAATTCTAGTATATTAACCAAATAGGCCAGTAAAAATAAAACGTTTTATCTTTAATGTTCTGATTGACTTTGGGACATAAGCTAGTTCATAATTTCATAATTAAAAAGTATTACGTATTTCACGAGTAAGTAGCTGTTTTCTAAACTCTCATTTCTAGATATGGTTTGGAAAAAAACTAAAATTTTTAAATAAGTAAATATACTGTCTATACTCCAAGATAATATAATTATTTAAATATATACTCACTGCTATCCATTGAATTGGGAAAAAAAAAATCATTCAGATTGTGTTATTTTAACAGGTACCTGAAAATAATTGGACTATTTATTCATCTTGTAGCTATATTCCATTCATTTTTCATCCATCATAAAAGGAGGAAGAGCTTCTTCCTATAGCAGAAAGGTCCAGAGTGTCTATAAATTTTGAGAATTTGTTGAAGACAAAGTGAAGTACTCGGATTCCCAGAATGAGACATTTCAACCAGCAGTTACTGAGGTCTTTCTTCATAAAGGCATATGGATTCTCACTTTAGTTAAGTAAAACAGGCTAACTGGTATGAACTTTCTGAATACTTTAAGGTAAAAATCTAAGAAATAAAATAAGGAATTAAAATTTAGAAAAGAGTTGTTTGCCTATAACTGTAAATAAGAGAAAAAATAAAAAGAAATAGGCAGTATTAAAAGTAAGTGAAGAAATAGAGAATAAAAATTTGGCTAAACCCTTGAAAATATTAGCAAAAATATATATATATTAAAAAACTTAATATCTTGCCTTCTGTTTTGCCGTAACTTCTAACTCTAGAACAATAAAATACCCATTTTAAGCACATAAGTTACTGAGAAAAACCTCTAAGAAATATCTTTAAGTGGTCTTTGCCTCCAGATAAAAACTCCCTCTCTGCCTATGAGCTTTTGGCTGCATGGATTATTTCCAAATACTGTTACCAAACACCATTATTGCATGATTACATGCAACATCATGATTAAAGTCATTGTGAGAATCCCTGTTTTACATCGGGGAAATGATGAAAAAATGTTTTTACCTTTTGGAGTATGTTGGGAAAAATTACATTCCATTAGACACAGCAAAAACAGGTCAAACCAAAATGGGGATTTTTTTTTTTTTTTTTTCCTTTTTGGCTTTGCAAAGACCAGTAAATAGATTTGTACATTTTGGTAGTCTTTAGAATGCCTGGAGCCTCAATTTCTTCTTTCTCTCTCATTTTTTAAAACAAAACTCTATTTTCATTTCTTTTTCTTTCCTCCACGCCCCCCCTCCCTTTTCTTATTCACATCTTTCCTGTTATGAAATTCATTCTAGTCTTTCAGGAAAAGCTAGACCACATTTATGAGGATTTTTACTCCCTATAGGGAAGAGCAATGGGAAATTTGCCTCCACAGCTGGGAGTAGGCCTGAGAATTCTCTAAGTATTTTGGGTTGGCCCATGTAGACTCACACTGAGTGTCTTCCATCTTTGATGCATGCTAGAATACTAACACATCAGTCAGAGGAAAGTATTTCTTCCAATTTGTAATCCAATTATACCACTTTAAGTACAGGGGCCGGAGTGAACTCCTTGCTGGCTCTTCAGGTTTATGAGTATCTGGCAAAGCTGCTGGCTGCTATCCATTAGAATAGGAGCCCTGTTTGTAACTGTGAATTGGACCTCTGGCTCTCCCCTGACTTGGACTCCTTTGTTTCAGCCAAAGGCTTTGCTCCCAGCACTGATGAAATCAAAGCACTGGAAATAGAGTGCTTCCCAAGGAACAGTTAGCCTTGCTACTACTATTCAAACAGCAAGTAGAATGTTTTAGAAGATGATCCCGTCTCAGAAATGACAGAATGTTGGACCTAGAAGATTCTGTGGCAGTTTGGGAAATGGCAGTTGATAGTTGTGAGGGTTATTTAATTGTTGTTCCCTTGAGACCCATGAAACACGCTGCTTTTGGGATTCCTCTGGAGGAACAGGAAATCACTGGTGCTTGACTATAAAATACTAAGCGCCTATAGCTCACAGCTAGCATCAGGTGTACTAGTCCCCCTGTTCCTCTTTAAAAAAAAAAAAAAGGTGGGTTTTTTTTTTTAGCCTTTTTGTGTTTTCCTAGGAGAAGAAAATAGCAAAACAGAAAGTAGATGAAATGGCAAATCTCTTCTTTCTCCTCTCTGAATCCAGCAATAAAAAAACTGCATTTTTAAAAGGGATATTTATTCTTTGGAAACCCTCTTATGTATAGATACCTTTTCTAAGGGATAAGTCAGGAAAACACTGGACTCTATGGTACTTGCAGGTAACACAGTTATAGAAATGAGACCTGGACCTTGTCTAAGCACATAAAAATGGCAGTAGTCAGAACTCCCCTGCTGAAGACTACTAGCCTCAATAAGATAGGAAGGCTACATTACTAAATATTTAATATTTTATTCAATCATCGACCGTCTTATCACCCTCCAATATTCTTTTAAGCAACAAGGCAAATAAAGCTGTTGATTGACTAGCTCTGGAGTTGATTGACTCCCAACAACTCAAGCCATTTGGATTCTGTTGGAGCTCATATTTAAGATAAATGAGATTCCTATGAAAAAAATTAAGATTGAAATCCGGTTTTGTATTAGTCTAAGGCTAAATTTTGCACTCAGGAAAAAACATCAGAACCAACTTCGACCATATTATAAGGCACAATGAGGTGTAATCCAAACGGTGTTACTATTGTCTGTGTTGGGGGGGTCCCAGGTGTTTTAATTGTAGCTTTTTCTAGCACTCTTCCTGGGAAATCCATTTCCATTAGGCTTTGAGAGGTCTCCGAATATTTCTAAACTTTTACAGGAATTTATTAAAGAGAACAGGCAATTAACTTTCACCAGAGTGGCGTTAAATCGGCATCTGAAACTTGTAACTTGGTATTCTTTAATTTTCATAAATATCATCGGTTACTAAATGTGGTTAAGCACACACAACTCAAAAACGGATCTCTTGTTTCACGGTCATCACAACCCGGACTAACGCTCGCGGGAGTGCAAACGCGGAGGGGGTACCTTGGCTCCCACACTACAACTCCCAGAAGGCGCCGCGGTCAGGAGGCGGCTTCTGCGCGTGCGTCCCGCCCCACGCTTGGTGTTGGGGGACGTGAGGGCGCCGACGCTTCGCTGAGCGGGCAGTGTTCGTGGTTTGAGTTTGTGACTGCTGGGGACGCTTTCCCGGCCGGGTCGCTGTTTGGAAGCGTGCTCTGCATTCGCACTGCCTGTTGGGCCCACCATGAGGCGCTTGGGTTCGGTGCAGCGGAAAATGCCGTGTGTGTTTGTGACGGAGGTGAAAGAGGAGCCCTCCACCAAAAGGGAGCATCAGGTACCGAGGAGTGCGGGGCCCGGGGAGCGGCCACGCAGGGATTCGGGGCTCGTTAGAACCGCCCTGCAGGCCGGGAGCTTTTTGCGGGTTTCGCTGGGGAGGTCTAGGGTAGGGCGTTCTTGCTCCCTGAGCTCCAGGTTCTTGTACCTCCTTAGTTGCAAGGGAGGGAATCCTCGAGAGAATTTTTCTGATAAGGCGATTCAAACTTGCTGTCGCATGGAAATTGAAAACCCACATCTTAAGTAATAGCCCCTTTTTCTACAACCTTTTTTGGGGGAAGACCCCTTAAGTATTCACATAATCACCGCAATCCAAACTTTACTGCTTTTCAAGAGTGTGGTGACAAAGTGGAGATTTTAGAAAACTTGCATTACACTTGATCTTAGCCACCGATGGTGTTGACAATTAGCCTAATTAGGTCACTAAAGATCAGATCTCATGTATTGTTACCGGTAGTTACCTACTTGATTCTAATTTTGGTGTTCCCACCTCCTGGTGTTTCTCTCAGCACCGGGTTTTAGGCTTAGAGGGACTTTGGTAAATACTGGTGAATGATTAGTCACCTCTATCAGGGTAATTCTTTCATGTGTAGCAAGGTCCTTGATAACAGAATCCCCAGGTATTCAGTGCTTCCAACTCATCATACAAAATTCTTCGGGTGCATTTGGCATAGGCCCCCACACGCCTTACATCATTTGCATGGGCGGTCTCCTTGGTTTCTGGACTAAAAGACCTTTAAGGTGGAGACTGCCCTGTTATATCTAGTCCCAGTTTCTAGGACCTGAAGTGTAGTAGGCACTGGATAAATATTTGTTGAATTAAAGAATGAACGCTGGAGTACTTTCATGCCAATTTTCCATTCACCTTGACCCTTTTTACTTTATTTACTTTTTAAAAAATTTATATTTATTTATTTTTAAGATTTACTTATTTTAGAGAGAGAGAGAGCACATGCAGGGGTAGGGGCAGAGGGAGATAATCTTCAAGCAGACTCCTCACTGAGTCGGAGCCATGAGATCATGACTTAAGCCGAAACCAAAAGTGGGTCACTCAGCGGACTGAATCACCCAGGCGCCCCTCATATTGACACTTTTTACTTGTAACAACATTTCCAGTGCCACCGCTGTTATAGTTCTTAATAGTTTATGTGCTGCTTACTGCACTGCCTGATTGTTCTTTCCTGCCATCCAGAATGATCATCATGTTCTTTCCTGGTCAAAACCCCACAGTTAACTACTAACTGTCTGTAGCAGTAGTTGCCAAGCTTTTATTTTTTATAGCCATAACAAACCTAATATGAAATATTGACATCCCAAATAGTGATTCACTTTAGCTGTGATTCTCAACTTTGTATGTCGGTGGGAGTGGGTAAATGGTAAAAGTACCCTCCACCAGGAAAAATAAGCCCCTGCTCAGGTCCCTCTGTAGTTAAGATTTGCTTACAGTATTATTTATAGCATAGTATTCAAATCCTTAACTATAAGTCAAGGCTTCCCATTAATCAGGCCCAGTCTACTCTTGAAGTGCCTGTTGCACCCACCATGAGGGGCCTGGACTCAGTGCAGCAGAAAATGTCATGTGTGTTTGTGGCGGAGTTGCCTACTTAAAGTGAAATCTCTGTTTAAACAAAGTCTTTCATCCTGTGAACCTAGCAGGCATGGTTCTGTCTTTATTTTTGCTTAGGCTGTGCAGCTCTGTCTGGATTACTTCCACAATTTTTTATTTTTTCAAATCAGACCTTGCATCGTAGTTATCCCAGTGATCTCCTTTGTCCGGAAATTGGAGGACCACTCAGTTGATACTCACTGTTACTTTTTAAACACAAATGTCTTCTTTTTCCAAGTAGTTTAAAGTCTTTAATGAGAAGGAGAACTTTGTGTACCCTTGGTATCTTACATTGTCTTTTGAACATGTTGATAGCAAAGAGTGGTAGAAAGTTGATTCTTACAGAAGGAATATTTGGAGCTCATCAAGAGCTCCCTGGAGGCGAGGGGTCGCCTGGGTGGCTCAGTTGGTTAAGCGTCTGCCTTCCGCTCAGGTCATGATCCCAGAGTCCCGAGAATGAGCCCTTTATCCCTGTATCAGGCTCCCTGCATGGTGGGGAGTCTGCTGCTTCTCCCTGTGCCCCTCACCCCGCCCTCTCGCTCCCTCTCCCTCTCTCAAATAAATAACAAAATTAAAAAAAAAAAAACAAAAACTCCATGGGCAGGGTAATTTCCTCCCCAGGATTTTTGGTAAATTTGAATCCACACCAACATTGCTGTTAGGCCAGGCCTTAACCACTACAGGCTAAACTGATATCCTCTGATACTAATTGCAGAAGTTAGTGATAAATCCCCAGTCATTATTTTATCTTGAAAGTCCTGAATCAGTAACAATGGTGCTAATTTCCTAAGTCTACCTGACTCAGAAAACCCAGAAACAGCACTTTCATGTATTAGTTTTAAACCTGTACACACCAGTATTGTGCAGTGTTTTTCACATTAAGATGAGTGTTACTTCAGATAATTCACACTATAAAACGGTGGCATAACTCTTTCTCAGAAATAAAAATAAATTACAGATAAAAAATTGGTAGGAATTGTAGAAACTCCTTTTTCCCGTTCTTGATGGTCTTGGCTTCTCTTCCTGACAGTAGAAGAACCATAAATAGAACCATAAATTATGCAGTTTACTACTGCTAAATCTGAAAGACTCCCCATTTGTTTTTCTCCGTAACATTTATTATACTTACCATTGCATGTATGTATTATTTTGTTACTATTGTCTTGCTCATTAAAATGAAAGTTCCACCAAAGACAGGTACTTTTTGTTAATCTCTAACTTCTGTTGTCAAGGACAAGGATTAACCTATAGAAGGCATTTAGCAAGTAATTGTCAAGTAAAGGAACACACTGTGCTACGGAGACAGTGCTGCAGAGGACATGGTTGCTGATGTCAGCTCATGGTGGCTAAAGAAATGTACTAATTAAAAATAAGTGTGGGAAAACAGGTATTGCTGTGATAGCATAGAACGGAGGGGGTAACTCATGAGAACTTGATGGAAGAAATATTTTTTAATTGTCTTGAAGGGTAAGCAGGAGAATGTACTTCAGAAATAGTGAAATTAAGAACATTCCAGGTGAGAGTATGTGTGAAGGCGTAGAGGCTGTTTATTTTAAACCAATTTTCTTTCTCTCTTTTTTAAGCCATTTAAAGTTTTGGCAACTGAAACTCTAAGTCACAAGGCATTAGATGCAGATATATACAGTGCACTTCCAACAGAAAAAGTGGATGGAACATGTTGCTATATTACTACCTACAAAGGTAAAATTATACTACAAATATTATTTGATCACTTTACAAACTATATATATCTGAAGTAGGGCATTTACCCTTCATAAATCCTTGGCAACCTAAGTATAAGAGCAAAATGATAAAGTCCCAGTTGTTAAACTTATTTATTATATCATGTATCTTTCTCGGAGGAGAAAAAGAAGGTAATTAACATTTACTTAATACTCATTCAAGGCAGGCCATATGATAAATGCTTATCATGTTATCTCTAATTTGCACAGTAAGCTTCTCCATTTCACACATAAGGAAACTGAGCCTCAGACAACTTAAATAATCTGTCCAAGACCATATAATTAATGAATGGCTGAACTGGTAATAGAACTTATGTTTGATCCTAAAACTTACTCTTATTTCACCGATTCCAGTGCTGACTCCATAGTTTTTATTACTATTGTCAGTATCTCTAATTTATTTCAAATTTAATGCACTTTAAGAGTTAGAAACTAAAATAGAAATTGTCAGTTAAGGAAAAAAAATGTATTGAAAAGAGAGAAATAATCTTTATGATTTCCTTTTACCTCTTAATTCCAGCAAGAGAAACAGAACAGTTGAGTAAATGCAAATTAGACATATTCCTGGTATCAGGGAATCTTTTCTGAAATGCATTTTTTCCCATTTTGAATTGTGATTAACATACACTTAACATAATTTACCATCTTAACCATTTTTAAGTGTACAATTCATTGTTGTGCTCCTATCACCACTGTCTATCTCCAGAACTCTTCATCTTGCAAAATTAAAACTCAGTACTCATTAAATAATTCACCATTCCCCCTCCTCCAGCCCTTGACAACCATATTCTACTTTGTCTCTATGTTTTGGCTATTCTAGATACCTCATATATGTGGAGTCATACGGTATTTTCTTTTTATGACAAGCTTATTTCATGTAGCATAGTGTCCTCAGTGTTCATCATGTGGTAGTACCTGCAAAATTCCCTTCCTTTTTTTTTTTAAGATTTTATTTATTTATTTGACAGAGAGAGACACAGCGAGAGAGGGAACACAAGCAGGGGGAGA